TGATACACTTTACTTTTTACTAATTTTTACTTTATTTTACACATTTATTGTACCAAATACTGAGTCTCCTTTTTAGATACGTACACAACGTACTTTGATCAGATCCCTGTATTTACTTTCATAGTACCCAACCCCACTCTCAGTAGTCCACTTCTTCCGAAACAGGTCGCTTTCTGGCAGTGGTCTTATATAACCACAACCAAATCTTTTCAGTTTAAATTGACAACATGATTACAATAAATTGAATGGGACAATTTCTCAGTAGATGAGAAATTCTTTCATTTTATTTTCTTTGTTCATGTAGTTCTGTTTCATCCGCCATCCTCAATTCATGCAGTCTCCCTAATTCTACAGGCCTTTGCTTGATTCTTTCAGCATGCTTCACCCTCTAAAAACAAAGATGCAACCATACTTATTCTCTGCTTTACACATTCAACTTAATTATGAGTTTCTTTGATGAGCTGTATTCCTCTTCATCAACACAGTATCTGACATAAGGCTCAGAATACAGTCAACACAAACAACTCCTGGTCACTGCGGGATAAAGGACACGAGTTCGAAATCAGTTACTGTTTCAGGACCAGCAGTATTATATCACTCAAAATCTAACCAGATCCAAACGCCTATGGGTGCCTTCCTACCCTTCATCCATCACAGCAGCCCTTACCGGCAGCCTAGCACAGTAACCAAAACAGTTTACTTGGAAATAGAAATTCATTCAAAAAGTAAGATCAAATATCAGTAAGCCAATATGGCCAACTTAATTCTTATTTTCTGGGGAGAGGGAGTGGTGCTGGGAGTTAATAAAAAAACACCTATTGTGTAGAAGTTGTGTCCCTGGAAAACACACAGAAGCACTACAAAGCATGCATCTTCCATGTAAACTACATCCGATGCCACTGTTGAGAAGAAGAGCAAAGGGAGGCCGTATGAAATCACTAGGACACAGAAAGTCAGCAGTTTAGAATGAGAACTGAGACAGCCCCCACCCCAGTGGTGCTGGGGAGATTTTAATCACCTTGCGATTGTGCTCAGAAACCGTCAATGTGCTTAACTTAAGTTACAAAGCCAACCTCCCTATTAATAATAAAGCTAACCTTAGAACTTCATCAGTAACTGAATTTCAGAAGGAACTGAATATTTTAATCTCACTTTGTAGAGGTATTTCCAACGATGTAACCATGTAAAAGAAGTGTGTGCCTAAGACACACACCTACATTTATCGATGCACTATCCATAATACCTAAGATACAGAATTGTCTGAGATGTCCACCAACAAAGTATTAAAGAAAAAATGGAATATTACTGAGCCATAATAAAACAGTATATACTAACATTTAGGGCAAAATACATAGAATTGGTGGACATTATACTAGCAATAGTCAGAAACAGAAAAATACATAAGGAGTTCTCTTGCAGACCTAGTTACAAAAGGGTACCCAAACAGATAACAACTTCCAGTATCCTAGTGTGTGCTCTACAGCACAGGAAAGACTAAGGGATCACAATTAGACATTTTATGATTAACTAGAAGAGAAGAAGGTCACGAACACAATGTATGACAAGGAGTTGGAAACATCACACTTTCCTTGACAGAAGAATTCTATACAGTATTAATCTGAACCCCATTCCTCTCACCCACCCACTTAACATTTAGCATATAGCAGGGCATAAACCTGCGCTAAAATTAGGGCACAGTGTAAATGGTAGGACAGAGAGGATAAAAATCTCAATTATTCATGCAAAAGTTGAGATGAACAGGCAGAACCTCAGGTGTAAATTATAGCATGGGGACTTCCTAGCAAGGGGTGGTGGCACACACCTTTAATTGCTATGTTCAGGAGGCTAAGGTAGGAGGGCTGTGAGTTCAAGGCCAGCCTGGGCTATATTGTCAGTTCAGGGCCAGAGGGGGTCACAGTGAGACTCTGGCCAAAGCTTTAGCTTTCCTTAGCAATTTCATCTGCAACAGAGTACATGCTCTAGTGTTCCCCTTCCCAGTGTAAATATAAAATGCTACAAAAGAATAAAAACGTGTCTTGATACTTGTGAGACTGGTTTAAAACAAAGACTTACTTTGTCAGCTCCTGCTTTTGCCCAGGTCTACAATGTGATGAGAAGACCTGTGATTCTACGCTGACAACCATCTAGTTATAATTTCTTGCAGACTTAGTTTTCCAACCTGTACAATGACCAACCTGACTGGGTTTTCTAACTAGCTGTCTAGAACAGGGGCACTAACAAGATATGTACAAACTGTTCGCTAGCTGTAGGGCCACATATGTTTCTTTCTAAGTCCTGAGACACTGGACATTCCACAAATCATCTTGCAAAAACCCAGCAGCACATCTACAAGGTGGATATTATCAAATGTATGCTGCTGAAGTCATGTGCCACCAGCTATACCTTTTTACAGAAGGAAAAACAAGTTAAAACTGGCATTGCTCTAGCAAAAGTAACAGCACATACACACACTTGCCCCTCCCCATGGCATAGCATTATT